TCATTAATTGGAACGAGTGATTGTTATGCAATCAATTGTATTTATTTGGTAGTCATCAATTAAACAGGTTGTTGTCGCAGTCAAGGTAACACAGCACAGCGATCAGAAGTCGTGAGGTGGTGTATACGTATTTATAGGTATTTCTCTGTATGGGGATTATCATTCACACACATATAGTAACATCTGTGAATTAGACTGGTCTTGATTGTTTGATCTGTTTGTATATATAATGACCCTTGCTTGTGTATTGCTATGGACCAAGGCCTGGTACAGGGCGGACAATTACATATATACACACTGTAAGCTCCACTCAAAGAATACACATCGCTCACCTATTTAACCTTTCGCTAACTTTTAAAACACTTTAAACATTTACAAGCATGTACTTAAGAGTTCTTCTTCGGCAGAGTATCTTTAACATTCTTACATACTCGGCTCTTTAATAAAAGCAGACATTTAAATGCGCAGTGATCCTTTGTGTGCTGGTGTGGGTTGTAACTAGGGGTAGAGGGTAGCTCGGCTGGTTAACCAGAGCTATTATTCACCAATCTCGGCGTTCCAATCCACCACCTCCGCCCCTTGTCGAGTTAAAAGGGCTGGCGATTCAAACTTTATGGGCCGTCACCTTTGCACAGTGTATTGTTCGGAGATGTACATATTTTATTTCATAAAACAAAAAAAATGATACCTTATATTTTGGCTCATCTCTTTACCCAGTTTAATCACTGAGTGACGCACTTGTATAATTTAATCAAATTTTAAGTTATTGCATGCTTGAACAATGGTAAATATTATGAAGTCAGACTGTGTAGTTGTGTTCCTATGATTGATTATAAATAAAATGGGTTCACCACTCATCCAAATGAATAATTAATATATTATTGTTTCAATTATTTATTATATTTAACAGATAGTTATAGATGAATTGTTTAGGGGAAAAGTCATTTACAATTTAAGATAGTTAAATTAAAGTACATGTAGAAGCAATATCAAAGTTTTACTTTCTACACAATCAATGTACATATTAAACGTGTCGCATTGTTTCAAGACCGTCTGACTTGCTTGAAAGGGACCAATCTGCCTTTAATACATAATTGTTTGTGTAGAAAGTAAAACTTTGATATCACATCTTATTTCTAAACTAATGAATCTTATTGAAGATTAAGTAGACGCACTTACAACATCAAATTTAAAGTTGTTTTAAGTTTTATAATATTTCTTGATAATCATCAGTATCATGGCAACTGTGATAAATAGTACAGAGGTCTGAAAAGTAAACACATTGTCTCACCTAACTATGACAACATACCACTTACTGTAATTTTGAAAATATATATATGTATATCGCTTTCATTGATCTATTACAAAGGACTAAACCTGATCTTGGGAACATAAGTTGACTTGATTCTAAAATCACAAAGTGTTACTTGATTCTATAAGGACACATACCATACCTGGTTTCAGAAAATAATTATTTTATATGCCCGCCTTCATATTATCTTAGCTGTTGCCAAGATGTAACCCCCCACCCGCCTAAAAGAAAAGCAAAAACTTGATCTTCAGAACAGGCCACATTATTTCTTTCTTAGAACACATTTCGCTTTTTTCTGAGATCACATTGCTATACGTAATTTGGAGAACAATTTTCATTCCGTATGTTACCCAATTTTTGGAACAAATTACTGTACCATCAACTTCCATTCAAACATATTTTATTGATGGAAAAACAATCAAAGGGATTGGGCACAAGTTCTGACCACTTACTAGGCCCTCTCCCGAATCCACTTTCTATCTAATCTAGAACCATGGATATATCACTTGATCTTACACTGCTGAACCTGTCGTCCAATATGCTTTGTCGTACAACACAACCTAATTAGTTTGTAATTCATTTGTTACCCAAAACAAAGAGAATTCTCTATCCAGTAGACTATTGTTTTACATTGGATCTTTACCTTGTATATGATTGGTTATAACCTGATCATGTATAGTATTTTGGTTCAGTGTGATTCTACTACCATACATATTCGTGTATAGTGCACAGGTACTCTTTGGGCGAAAAAAAATCAATAAATTTGAAGAAAGAAAAAAAATATTGAGATATTTTTCTGGAACTACAGTAGCAGTACCTAAGATTACTGACTACTAGCTGTCATTTCCATATCATTTCAGTATCATTTCAATATCATTTCAGCACTACTGTAGTGTGACCTTTCCTATGACCTATACAGTAGCAGTACCTAAGATTACTGACTACTAGCTGTCATTTCAGTATCATTTCAGTATCATTTCAGTACTACTGTAGTGTGACCTTTCCTATGACCTATACAGTAGCAGGACTAATGATTACTTTAATTACTACCAGCTGTGGGAGCTGTGGGTGGTCGGGTGGTGCAGTGGATAGCGCACTTGCCTTTCACCAAGGCGGCCGGGGTTCGATTCCCCGATTGGACGTGAAAAGGTTGGGGTCACCTGCCCGACCATGTGGGTTTTCTCCAGGTACTCCAGTTTCCTCCCACACCAAACAAGAGTGATTAATATAAGTTGAAATAACTTGTTTCATAATTGTTGTAAAATAAATAAAGTTAATATACTACCAGCTGTCATTTGAGTATAATTTCAGCACTACTGTAGTGTGACCTTTCCTATGACCTCTACATCAGTACCTAAGAATACTTACTACCAGCTGTCATTTCAGTATCATTTCAGTACTACTGTAGTGTGACCTTTCCTATGACCTCTACAGCAGCAAGACCTAAGATTACTGACCACCAGCTGTCATTTCCATATCATTTCTGTATCATGTTAGCATCATTTCAGCACTACTGTAGTACGTGTGACCTTTTGTATGACCTCTACAGTAGCAGGACTTATGATTACCTACTACCAGCTGTCATTGTCACACTCACATATTTACTCTTTGTATGTACCTGTTTGACATCAAATACACCTCAAACACGTTTAATCCAATAGCTACTTGATGATATGTATTCTCAATGATGGTCTGTCTATAAAACAATATTGACAACCATCCAGGCCATTGGAACTCTTTGACCGGGGCCCATATCATATCCATCACAATTAGAGACTTTGAAATAAAAAATTCCATATCCGAATTCTTACATATATAGATTTTATACAAGACTGAAATCAATTGTTCTGAATGGAGTATTTTCCTTGTGAGTTGGCCTTATGAGTTTGTGTTGGGTCCTATCGTCCATGGTGATGGATAACACTTCAGTGTCAACATCGAACAATGCCTTTTTCACAAAACTCAATAAATATTTCCATAAAAACGTTGTAAGTATGGTTTTGACCAAACATACCTGGTGCCTATATTGATTGTAACGTTTGTGTGTTTAGTGGTCACATGTTTGCTTTGCCGTGTATTCTGTTCAGCTTGGCTGTAATGTCCTAGCTTCTACTAAATAATTTACAAAGTACTAAATACACATTGATTTCAATGTTCCCCAAAGTGTAGGTAAAAACCATTGTCGTGCTATAACATAAATAAACACAATTGTATAAATGTCTTGGTCAGGGATTTTACACTTTCAGATGGCGAGTACCTTGAATTGGGTCTTCAAATAAACGTGGGATTATTGATTATGGTTTTCATATTTTGATTGTTGTCCTCCAAGTTTTTAGTAGCTGGTCCATTGTTAGGGTGACAGAGGGGACTTGTCGTTGTAGCTACAGTAAGACATTGACACCTCATTTGGTCGGTACAGGTGCCAACTATAACATGCATCAAGAGTGGAAACGGCAGCATGAAGGATTGCTGTTAAGGTGCAAAGTGGTCAAGGTCATCTTCTATGAATGTAAGCAGTTGTGAGTTAATTAACCAATGTACATCATTTGTGTCATTAAGGATACAGTTTACCAGGATAAAGAATTGTGATATTTTTGAAAAAGCCGGGTGAATGTTAGTGGCTGTGTCAGCCTAATGGAACACTCGGATGTCATTGCTTATCAGGGTGGAAAAGGTCCTGTGTTTGTGGTATCATGTACATATCATGTCACCTGTGGTAGGATGGTTGTTGCTGGCTGTTACTGTGTATGAGAACAATGGGCTCATATATACTAAACTTTTATATGTTTACTTGAGCTGAAAGTTTTTCACCAACATTAATCATATTTGGATTATTGCTCAAATGAAGTGTCCATGGGTTGTCAGTTTTGATGAAGGTTTTCATTTTCACAGGATTTCAATGTTTTATGGAAGTGCATTCAAAGGCTTTTAGTATTTGATGGAAGTGTTCACAGGCTTTAAGTGTTTGATGGAAGTGTTCACAGGCTTTTAGTGTTTGATGGAAGTGTTCACATGCTTAAAGTGTTTGATGGAAGTGTTCACAGGCTTTTAGTGTTTGATGGAAATGTTCACAGGCTTTTAGTGTTTGATTGAAATGTTCACAGGCTTTTAGTGTTTGATGGAAATGTTCAAAGGCTTTCAGTGTTTGATTGAAATGTTCACAGGCTTTTAGTGTTTGATTGAAATGTTCACATGCTTTTAGTGTTTGATGGAAATGTTCACAGGCTTTTAATGTTTGATGGAAATGTTCACAGGCTTTTAATGTTTGATGGAAATGTTCACAGGCTTTTAGTGTTTGATGGAAATGATCACAGGCTTTTAGTGTTTGATGGACATGTTCACAAGCTTAAAGTGTTTGATGGAAGTGTTCACAGGCTTTGAGTGTTTGATGGAAATGTTCACAGGCTTTTAATGTTTGATGGAAATGTTCACAGGCTTTTAGTGTTTGATGGAAATATTCACAAGCTTTTAGTTTTTGATAAAAGTTTTCACAGGCTTTTAGTGTTTGATGGAAGTATAATCCATGACAGGGAACCATAATAATGTCATTCAATGTATGTTAAAGTAGGAAAGTTTTGTATTTCTATAAAATTTTGTTACCGTTGCAACTTTTATCTTCTATAGATGCTGGATACATGAAATTAAAATATCTGGTTGCCATGTCAACTTTCTTTTCCTTGCATTGCAGGTTAATAGCCTATCAAGGGAGGTAATAAATCAACCATGGCGACCTACAACCACCTCGAATACTACAGCAATGGTTATGTGGTGGAATACGTGGAGAATGGATCTCTGCCTTGTTCCAGTTACATCCTTCTACCAGCCGAAAACCTGTGGCCGAAGGCATTCAGAGGATTCCTCTATATTTTAGCAATTGCATATATATTTTTAGGAGTTGCAATAGCATCGGACATCTTTATGAGTAGTATAGAAGTTATCACAAGTAAAAAGAAAAAAGTAGTGTCATGGGACGAAGAGAAGCAGGTGAAGGTGGAAAGGGAGGTGCTGGTATGGAACGAAACTGTGGCCAACTTAACGCTTATGGCACTTGGAAGTAGTGCACCGGAAATATTATTAGCCGTTATCGAAACTGCCAAGAATTTAGGAAATCAAGAAGTTGAAGATTCTTTAGGAACATTTACAATTATAGGAAGTGCTGCTTTTAATCTACTAATTATAACCAGTATATGTATAGTGAGTGTACCTACTCCTGATGTGAAAAACATTCGTGAGTTTGGTGTGTTCTTATTAACAGCAGCCTGGTCCCTTTGGGCCTATGTTTGGATGTTACTGGTGGTACAGTATATAACGCCCGGGGTCATAGATCCCTGGGAGGCATGGGTCACACTCGGATACATGCCCTTATTTGTGATCGCGGCGTACTGTCAGGATAGTGGTTGGTGGTGCAAGAAAAAGAAAGTCACATCGGAGGAAGACCCATCTGATGAGGTAGGTTCTTTTTGTCTTTTGCCAAACAAAAACAAACTGAAAGGACTATGTGCTATTTTGGCTTTCTCTGGCTCCCAAATCGTTCAAAATTTTAAGACCTTACGTGGAATTATCAAATTGCTGTTTTCTATATTTTGATATCTTATTGATACTATTATGACAATGTTTTTTGTTATTATGGTTGTCACCATGGTAACCACTTAAAATTTGCATAAGTTTGTTAAATCAAGATATTCAGTTAAGTTTGTCTTAATTTTGCTTAGTTTTTCAATTGAAAACCATCTAGAGCATGGATGTGCTTAAACAAACTGGATATCAAAGGGAAATGTGTAGACAGTGGTAGTACATCTCTAGGAGGATAGAAAGTTTGTTCTATAAGGTTCTCTATTGTTGGTCCAATAAAACCCCGCTAACTCGAACTCATGGGGTCCAGATCAATAGTTAGAGTAATGCGAGTTTGAGTAAGTTGGGTTTCACTGTATAAGCAAAAAAATGTGTGAAGCCTAAACAAATTACAAAATGGTGTTTTCACTTTCTATGCAAATTTCAACAGGTTACAATGGCTACCATAATTGAAAACGCAAACATTTTTATAATATTATGGGGGGAACATTCAAAAATTTAAATATTTGAAAATTCAATTACAGTATAGTGGGACAGGGATCCTTAACCCTTTCACCACTGTAGACCATAAGGGACTCATCCAGATCAATGCATGGTAGAGTCTACTAAAATTACCTAGGGATGAAAGGGTTAAACCAGGTTCTGTGATACACAGTAATAGAGAAGTGTCCAAATCAATAAGGATTACTTTATACAACACTATTTGCTATTAGAGAGTGTTATGTGTTGTTGTTATAGCTTGTTATTTCAGAATACCTGATGTAACACTGGAGATGATTTACTATTGTATTGTATTGGTTGTAATAATACCCACCAGGCGATTAACATAACACACCAAAAGAATAGAAATATGGGTGGATGCTTATTGGGGTCACTGCAATACACAGAAAAACATTCCGTGTGGACGTGGGCAATTTTTAGAACCAAATTTTTCAAAGATAAAAACTTTCAAAGTATTATTTGACCAGAGAAAAACATGTTTTTTTGCCCAAACTAAGGACTGGACCAGCTAACCCAAACTTTAAGCCCACCACTCTACGAAATGAGCTGGACAAAAATCCCCTCCAACACCAAGCCAGAACGCGACCATGAACATATGTTCAATTTAAATCTGCCACAAGTACAATGTATATTCAGTTAAACATTAATTAAAACATCAATGTGTTCTTGGATTCCAGGTTAAATATTCAGCATAAATTTTACTCCCTTAAAAAGAGGTGTGTGGGAGGGGAAGACAATTATATTATAGAGATCCTTTTAACCTCAGAAATAGAATTAATTAAAACCTGCCAATAATGACTGAAATTTGGTCGTGAGTAACTGGTATCAATATTTATTAGAGTTTGGATGATAAATGGTATGTGGATATCCATCTCTTCACACTGCTACCACTCATTCTTGTCTTTACTCTGTATTTCAGACTCTTGAATGTTCACAAAAACTTATGAAAACTTAAAATATTTGTCCTATCATTGCCCTACAAACCCATTATCATCCTGGTTACAGTATTAAGTTTAGTTCGTAAGAACTGCACCGTTAGAGGCCAAAACTTGATTCTTAAGGTCAGGCTACTGACGATACTTCTGCGTCAATAAACTTTTAAGTCAATTGTCAATATCAAGGTGATTGAATCCCCATTTGCTACAGATAATAATTTTGATTAATGGTAGTTATATTGCACTTTAAATGCCATAGAACCTTTAAACTGTAATTAAAATGTCAACTGGATGATGAAAAAAACTCGCAGAAAATTGAATCGATTTGTAATTAATTTCAATTACAATGGTATAACTTGATTAATTGAAGGGTATGAAATTCCAGTAAAAAGATTTAATGAGAATCAAATATAGAGCAAGGATAATCATGATGAGGCGTTATTGATAGTTGATCCAAATCCTGTCCATGTGGGGTCCAGGTATCCGATTTATATTATTAGGTCAAAACAAATCCACAAACCTTGTTTTCTAACAAGACGAAAATGAAGTAAGTTGTATTGAGATATCTCGGACCTAGGGTGAACCTTCTAGCTTTTCTCGTTGTTGTGATTTATCTTATCTTTATTCTCGTGGGTCATGAACCTTTTATTTTCCTGCCTTGGTTGGTTGACGTTTTTTAAACCAAATTTAAAAAAAAAAATCTTCATGAATGTGCTTTATGCAGGCTGGGGAGAATTTTTTCAAAGTTTGGGCAACACGTCTTTGTCAATATGTTACTTAAAACCAGGGCCAGAAGTTCAAGTTTAAGTTTTAATTTTTAATTGTCATGAAATCTCGTTTAAGTTTAGAGGAATGTGTATTAATGTTGCAGATCTGTGTAAAGTATTTTTTCACAATGGTGTTCTGACCCCAAGACAATCACAGTTACAATATCAGTATACCATACAGATACTCCTATCATACCCCAAAGACAATAGACAATCACAGTTACAAACGCATTATACCAAACAGATACTCCAATCATACCCCAAAGACTCCAATCGTACCCCAAAGACTGTTTTTATGTTGTTAATTGATTTATCATTGTTTAACAATTAAAATTCAAGTTCCAATCTTAAACAATCTGCAATTTGGAATTAATTCGTTATAACAAAAAGTCATTCAAACGTGGCCCTTAAATGGGTTTATGTACTGTATGTGGGGATAGAAAAAATTACATATGGTGTGTAGTGAGAGAGACGAGAGACGCAGTCATAATCCTTGTCTTGTTAGGGTAGATGTCGGTATAGTGTCGGAGATACGTGACCAGTGTCGGAGATACGTGACGGGTATTTGTGATTGTGCGTAGTCGGGCTGATAGACCTCAGACAGGCCTGATACAATCACACTATAAACGGTGTCTTACGAACACGTAATAACCATGTAATTGTTTCCGCTGTTTAGCAATAAACGTTATTCATTCAATCGATAATTTGTATTATTTGTCTTTAGAATTGGGGTCGGGGAGGGAGGGAGGGAGGGGTGGTCTGCTACAGCAACTGGTTGTCTCCAATATTTAATCATTCTTTGGAAAAGTTTTTGAATAAGCTACGTCACTTTAGTGTACTAAGCAATAAAGTTTTGTCTTGTGGCATTTGTCTGAACAAAACAGAAAAAATGTTTTTCTCATATTGAATACGACAAGATTTAAGTCTCTTTTGTGACCTCGATTTAAATACAACATTGATGTACATCTGGTTAATTTCCTTAGATTGAATATAACTGGGACATCAGTTCTTTGTCTTTAGATTAAATATAACTGGGACGTCAGTTCTTTGTCTTTAGATTAAATATAACTGGGACGTCAGTTCTTTGTCTTTAGATTAAATATAACTGGGACGTCAAATCTTTGTCTTTAGATTAAATATAACAGGGACATCAGTTCTTTGTCTTTAGATTAAATATAACTGGGACGTCAGTTCTTTGTCTTTAGATTAAATATAACTGGGACGTCAGTTCTTTGTCTTTAGATTAAATATAACTGGGACGTCAGTTCTTTGTCTTTAGATTAAATATAACTGGGACGTCAGTTCTTTGTCTTTAGATTAAATATAACTGGGACGTCAGTTCTTTGTCTTTAGATTGAATATAACTGGGAAGTCAGTTCTTTGTCTTTAGATTGAATATAACTGGGAAGTCACATTTGGTTGTCTTTAGATTGAATATAACAGGGACGTCAATTGGTTGTCTTTAGATTGAATATAACAGGGACATCATTTAGTTGTCTTTAGATTGAATATAACAGGGACGTCATTTGGTTGTCTTTAGATGAATATAACAGGGACCTCATTTAGTTGTCTTTAGATTGAATATAACAGGGACGTCATTTAGTTGTCTTTAGATGAATATAACAGGGACGTCAATTGGTTGTCTTAAGATGAATATAACAGGGACATCAATTGGTTGTCTTTAGATTGAATATAACAGGGACGTCATTTAGTTGTCTTTAGATTGAATATAACAGGGACGTCATTTGGTTGTCTTTAGATTGAATATAACAGGGACGTCATTTAGTTGTCTTTAGATTGAATATATCAGGGACATCATTTGGTGGTCTTAAGATTAAATACAATGAAGAGGTCTCTCTGGTGTCTTAGGTAGTATTCAACAGAGACTGGTCACTTCGCTGTGTTAAGATTACAACAGTAAGGTCACGTGGGTCACTGGGTGTCCTTAGATTCAAGGTTAAAAGGACATACCTTTGGTGTCCTCATATCAGATACAATGGCGAGGTAGTCCTTAGTCAGCTAGGTGAATAGAAGACTTTAAATATTTCTCAATCTTACATCATTAAATCCATTCCTGTCAAATAAGACTTCATTATTGTCAGACTTTAAAGATATACAATGGGTTTCCAAGGATGACTTTCCTCATTCAAGCTGAAAGCACTATAAAAATAATGGTGTAATGACATTGAATGTAATCCAGGTAATTATCAAACACACATTGAAATGAAATCATGGATGTCGTAGCTTTAAATATACACATTCGACAATACAGTTAATCATTTGGGTGGTCTCATGGCATAGTGGATAGTGCCCTCGTCTTTCATCAAGGTCGCTGGGGTTTGATTCCTCAATCAGACCTGAAGAGGTATAGGGTCACCTGCCCACCATCACACAGGTTTTCTCCGGGTACTCCGGTTTCCTCCAGCATTAAGAGCCCCTTGCATGCTTACATTCCAGCCAACAATAGTCATAAATAAAAGTTTTTATAAATTGTTTCATAATTGTTGTGAAATAAGGTTTTAATTCTAAAATACCTATAATGCATTAATAACTGTACATAATTGAAATCTCCAAATAAGAAACAGACGTTTCGACAATCATCTGTTTCATCCTGTACCCCATCATAATTATAGAGGGTTATAACATATGTTCTTCTACTTTTCACACGAAAAAA